CTCATTGATGAACACTTCAAGTATGTTCACAGATTGATGAGATTTATCATGTAGAAGATAAGTGTAACCATAACGTGAGTAATCGTCGATAAAAGTAATAAAGTACATTTCTCCACCCCACATGGAAATATCAAAAGGTCCACAAATATCAATGTGAATTAATTTTAGAAACTGAGTACTTCTTGTGGCTGCTTTCTTTACAGTATGTTTTGTCTACTTTCCTTTGATGCAATCTATACATACCCCTAAGTCACTAAAATCAAAACATGGTAAAATTTCATTTTTCACTAATCTTATCAACCTTTCTTTGGATATGTGACCTAATCTTTGATGCCATAATAAAGTCGAACTTTCATTGTTAGGTGCACTACGTTTAACACCCATAATATTTTCAACATTAAACAAGGATTCTGAAAACTTTCTATCAAGATTAAAACGATAAAGACCATCCATTAAAATACCGAAACCGAAAATTTATTTATGTTTATATAATTGAAAAATACCAGAACTGAACTTAACAGAAAAACCCAACAAGTCTAATTTTCCAATAGAAACAAGATTTCTTACACATTCAGGAACATAAAGACATCCTTCAAGAGCTATGTGAAAGCCGGTGTCTAAGACCAATATATAAGTCCCAATGCCTTCTATCCGTGCTTTCATCTTATTCCTCATGACCACATGCCTTTCAGGTCCTTTTATGGTTTGGATCATACTGAATCCCTGTTTAGTATGAGAAACGTGAGTAGTAGCACCTGAATCTAACCACCAAGTATTATTGGGCATTTCAATAACATTCGATTCAAAGCAAACTAGAATGTTATGTTTACCTTTGCTTTCGAACCATGCCTTTCTTTTCTAACAATCTTTCTTAATGTGTCCAGTCTTCTTATAGAAAAAATACTTAACTTCTTTCCGGACTTGGCTCACATTATCTTTTATTGGAGTTTTATCCTTCTTTTTGTCATTTTTTCCTGGTTTTCTTTTATTGCTGCCGACATTAGTATGAACTATAAGATGGATAGAATGTTCTTTCACCTTCTTTAATCGCCCTTCCTCATGTATGAGCATGGCCTTCAATTCCTGAAAATTCCATTTTTCCTTGATGGTGTTATAATTCACTTGGAACTGACCAAACTTAACAGGGAGAGAGTTAATGATGAACTGGACCAAAAATGTCTCATTAACATCCAGTCCCATAGCTTTCAACTTTGCCGCCATATTAGACATGTTAGTCACATGATCATGGATAGGTTAAGACCGGTCAAACTTTTTTGTAGTCAACTCACTCGTGAGACTTCCTACAATTGACTTGTCAGCCAAATCCGACTGAGAATACTCTTCAATCTTTTTGCATAAATTCCTTTGCACTTTCATTTTTAGGCATCAATGGCTTAACACTTTCTGCCATAGTGATCCTCATCAAGTTCAAACACAACATATTCGATCGCTCCCAGGAATCGAAGTTAACCCTTTCATTTTCTGAGCTTTCATGTGTTATGGATGTTGGCTTTTCATTCAACAATGCATGATCTATATCATTGAAACCCAAATAAAATTGGATCTGTTCAGACCAATCTGCATAGTTAAGTCCGTTGAACTTAACAATTACATTGCCAGAGACCATAAGGTTAAGTGAAGTTGAAATTTTATAAATATTTATCTATTAGTATTTCAAACGTAACAATAATATGTACTAAAATTCACCTTTGGATAATACTTCAATACATATATACAATCATTGATGCAAAATATACTTTAATATACATCATAAAACTACTAGTTAAATAAATATGCAATCTTTGGATATACATATTTATTAACTTAAATTATGTCCCTCTAATATTATTAATCATATGCATTGATCCATCTTTGGATGATCTAATAGCAATATGATAAATATTTATAATTTTTCATTTATTTATTTATTTTATGTCATATATTAGCATCCTTTTATTATGAACAATTAAAACATATATATTTTGTTTGAATATTTATTTTAATTTAAACTAGGTCACTTTGGTGACAAGCAAGTTTAAACGGTAAAACAAATCAAAATATTTTTAACTTCCATATAATATATATCCACATAGTTAATTTCGTAAAGCATATAACTATTATCCATACAAATTACTATATGGTATATTAATACATAATATATATACTTATAGAAGATACAAAAATAATAATAATATATATTGATATGTATTATAAAACATAGAAGTTATCAATATTAATATATCAAAAAAATTTAATTTATTTAAAACTATCTTTATAGTTCAAATTTAGAACTCGCATTTGATTTAATTAAAATGATCTTTGATGTAGTTAATATTTGCATGATATTTTATAACTTTATTTTAACTTTTCATGCACGTAAGTTTAAAAAAAATGTATCAATATATTATACATATTAAAATTTTGAAACTGTAATCGATGAATTATGATAAAACAAAACGCATGTTCTGATACCAAATGTAAAATTTTATATTTGATGGTTTTCGATAACTTTATGAAAATCCACCAAAATAGGATACGGTTTTACATAATTCACACAACTCGAAATTAGTATATATATCAGATAAGAATTGTACCTAAATCCATGTTGCGGCGGAATAACTTTGAAGAACAAACTAAATAGTTTCGTTATTCGTTTTTCTCTCCTTTCACCTTTACTTTGATAATTTTTTCGATGGATAAAATATGAACCAAATGTCCATTATTTATAGGTTAAGGAGAGGGAAATAAACTTAAATACCCATAAACTTCAACACCATAATAAACTCATTTCCATCAATGTAATCAAGATCATATTGAAGTTTAAAATCCAAAATTAAATGGGCCATTAAAATGTTATATTTCCAACAAAGGATGGATGAAAGAAATTTGATTCTATAGTAGAAAATAAAGAAAAATTTTGGTGTAGCGATTGAGGTGTTGCCGTTATAGGTAGAAAATTTTGTTTCAATATTATATTAAATATATTCTGATAAAAAAAATTATGCTATTATCGAAATAAAATAACTTAATTACATACAAATTATCAAAACAAGTTAATAAGAAGAAAAACATAGATAAAATCAAAAAACAAAACAACATCTTGTATAGTAAATAGAATTTTCATTTGCTTAAAAAATGCAATGATATAAAATAGTAAGATGTAAAAGGAAAGGGGAAAACAACAAGATATAAATCTCAAGCAAATTTGTTTTTTTGGTAACCGGGTATCTTGGGTCGAAACTCATACCAATTTCGGGGTTGAGAGCAAGCCATATGATTGGAATTACGCTCTCCTCCCTAATTTGAACTTGAACTCGGGGCGGGACGGACGTTTTGTGTCCCTGTTTTACCGATTAAGCAAATTATTTTTTTATTCTATTTAATTCGTATCAGTTTTCATTGAAAATTTTTATTTTCTAAAAATTGTTATATTCATTCAGTTTTGTCAATTTATATTAAATTTAATACATATATTTTATTCGATACAATTTAATTCGTATTTATATCTCAACTAAACAACACACGATCTAATATGAATAATTAAATAAGAATTATACAAATAAATGCAATTTAAAAAGTTGGAAAAAACAAGGTAGCATCCTGTTTATGAAAAAAAACAAAAAACCATTATAAGATAGCTCCCACAATTATTTTTACCTGAGAAGCCAATGATAATAAAATAAACAAACAATTATATTACAATCATAACAATAATGATATTAAAACATGGGATTATTTGTTCATGATTTTGTGACGTATTTACCATCCACCGAACTTATTACGATCGATTTTTTTTATAGAAAATTTAATTATAGGTTAGTTGATAAAAAAAAGGTTTTAAACTAAGTTTAAGGGATATTGAATGATGTTATAGTCTGCACTCGTCTTAAAATATTGAATAAATAAAAATTAAAAAAATAATATGAATCAATAGATTGAATTTTGTTTGGTTTGAATGTTGATTGTGGTTGTTCTATATTTAATTGTCTATTTTGGATATGGATTTGAGGTTTATAGTTATAGAACATCATTGAGTTATTTGCTTATCTCACCCCTTTATTTTTTTTCTCTCGTGTAAAAGGTGAACCAGATTTATAATTGAACTCGTTATTACAAAAAACATGAAGATTTATATTTTCTATTTTATGAGTTTAGTATTTCAAACGACGACGGCGTCGTAATATTTGTAACTAAATTTTTTATAGCCAAATGACGATTCATACCACCCGAAATATCAGATTTGGGTCATTAAAGAACCTTAATATAAAGTATATATCTTTTGATATAAAGAATAAAAATGTTTTGTACAATGTACCATATTAATGTCCCAGAAAATCAAACCTATACAATATACAATATTCTTTTGTAATCTTTAGAAACTTTTATATTATGACTGGAAATCCATTAAATTCATTTTTTTTTCAAAAGAAAATGATTATAATAATTTTCATCCGTTAAATACATTCATAATCGTCACAAAATGACAATGTGCATGGAATGACAATGTGTTTGGCTGATGAATCATTTAGAAGTAGTAGGGATTTGAGGTTCTTTTTTGGTAAAACAAAAGTAGTTTTTTTAAAACTCATAAAAATTTCTGAATTTGTAAAATGATAAAAATTAATTTCTAAATTTTTCATTTACAAATTTATTCGTAAACTTAATTTTCAAACTTACAAAATATATCATTATAATTTCCAAACTAATTTATAGATTAACGCTGTCAATGTTTTTTGTAACACCAATTAATAAATTTAGAAATTATAATAACGTATTTTACAAATTTACAAATAAATTTATCAAATGAAAAATTTAAAAATTATTTTTCCAACATTGTTTAGAAATTTTTATGGTTTTTTAATTGAGTTTAATGTTTTCTTGAACAAAGTGAGTTAAAAAAACAGAAAGAAAAGACTTGCAACAAAAGAAGATAGGCAATTAAAAATGAGGGTGCAATTTAATTGACCCTCATTTTTTATTGAAATGGTTGTAGAGATTGGTTCGAATTTGATAACGTTTAACATTAAATGCGGATTCGGGCCGGCCCGATTGACATTCCCCGGGGCCGCGCCGTCTGTCTGCTTCTAGGTCCTGAGCACCTTTTTTTAAATAAAATAATAACAATTATATTCCCTTAATAAACTTTTAAAATTAAATTTAAAAAAAAATTAAAATCTAGCGTTCTCGAAGCCGTGTAAGTCGTTACTCAACGACTTCTTCATCATCGCCACTTTCGCCAGCTTCTCCGCCGCCCTCCACGCCGACGCCGGCGTTAACGGCTCTCCGTTTTCGTCCGTCAATACCATCGCCGTCTCTCTCCGCCGTTGGATCTGATACTCCATCAACTGCTGCCTCCGCCACTGCACCTCAGCCAGCTCCGCCTCTACCCCCCTCACGTGCTCCTCCGCCGCAACCGACTGCGAGAGAAGCGCACGCGCTGACGCCAGCAGATGGTGCGCGCTCGCGAACTCGCCTTGCTCCACCAGCCTCCGCGACTCCGCCACCCCGCGCGTCGCGATGAAGAGGTTCTTCAGCCGTTGGATCGCCGGAGACGACGATCGCACAGCTCGAGGGACCCGGAGGCTCTGGTCTCTCCCGTACACGACCTCCTGTGTCAACGGATCTTTGTAGAGGCCTCGTACAGACAGCGCGTGGGATCCACCCGTCGTCGTCGTCGGGACTCGGAGCTCAATGAGAAGCTCGCGTTCCTCGTCGGCGTAGAGGTCGCCGAGACGGACTGATCCGGATCCAGAGCTGGCCAACGTGGGCCGTCCATTGCAGAGATAAACGGCTGAGATTTCGCACGGAGAGGATCCGGATCCGACCCGGATTTGTATCCGAAGATCCTGGACTACGACGCTGAGCAGACCGCCGACGTACTCGGCCAACGCTAACTCCGCCGGTTCGCGGCTGCATAAACCGCCGTTTTCGCCGAAACCGTGGTCCAGAACCGGGATTTCGATGTGTGCGAACTGGGTTGATGCCACGTGGCAATATCTGGACCGATGACTTTGCGGTTGGGATCTGGTTAAATCCTGACCGTCGGATGATAAGTGTATGATGCTGGCGAGTGGGTTTCTCTCTCTCCGGTCCTCGAGCACTCTCGTCGCTTTCCTCAACGCGTCGCCGGCGCTGGTGCCGGTAAGGAGCGTGTCGACCACGCGCCTCGCGGCGCGTTTGCCTTGCTCCGTCATCCTCTTCAGTGGGAGAAGCCTCTTAACGGCGATGATGGAGAGACGATCCGCGGAGCCAAGCGACGAGATCACCAGCCTCATTGCTCGCTTCATCATCTGGAGCTTCTCGGCGTTCACGTTCCCGCCGACATCGATTACGGCGACGAGATCCACCGGCGAACGATGGCACGCATCCAGAAGCGCCGTCGCTTTCCCGCCTCTTGCCGGCGGCGCCTTCACACGCAAAGTAACCGCGTGGGTCTGGTAGCCGCACCCGACGGAGACGACTGCCGATTCCGGTAACAGCCTCACCTGCACATTCCCGAAATCCCCACCGTTGAATGGAGCCTCGTGGAACTTGACCGCGAACGATGGTTTGGGATCCACCACGAATCCCTCGAACTCGACGCCGTCGTCGTTTTCATCAGCCTCAGGAATCGGAACAAACCTCGGCGAGAGCAACGGTTCGTCGTCGTCGTAGAATCTGGACTCCGAAGGCTTCGGTCTCGCCACCGATCTCGGAGAAGATCCGACGACGCGCTTCTCCTGAATCTCCGGCGCCGTCGAGACGGTGTCGTTCCCCGAAGGAAGGTCAGTGGCATTTCCGTAATTCAGGAGAGAAGCGTCTTTCCAAACAGCGTTACAGACTGGGCAAACAAGCTTTCCATGCTTACGAACATAGTCGGCGATGCAAGGGAAATGAAACGCGTGCGAACACTCCGCCGTGTAAATCGCCTTTCCTTGCCCTGTCTTCACACTGTTCAAGCAAATCCCGCAGCTACTCTGCAAAAAATCCACGGATTCACAATCAAAATCACAAATCCAACCGAATTTGATTCCACTAGGCATCTTTAGTTTCGGTTCTTTCTATCTGTTCTTACTCTGAATTTGAAGCTGTTGCGGAACAGAGAGAGCTTCAATGGCGACCGAGGCGAAGACGGGTTAGAGCTCTTCGAAGACGATCTAGGTGTGGTGGTTTTGCAGTGAAGCGGCGGCTCTGGGTTTTCCTCCGCCGCGGGAGCCTCGCCGGCTTCGGCGGTCCGACCCCGGAGGTTAGGACTCGAACCCGGCCGTGGAGTCGATGGGTTACTTCCTCCGGAGAGGAACGCGAGCCTCACGCAGCTCCGAGGGCTAGGGCTCCGGCTCGGGCTCGATGTGTAGACGCCGTGTCGCTTGTCAGAATCCGGCGGCGCTGCGGCATCGCTGTTCCTCGGCGCGGTGGTGCAGAAGGCTCGTCGCCAACCAGTACCCATTGTGCGGTATGAGTCGGTTACGTTTCGGCCGGAAAAAAGAGAAGAGGAAAAAGAAGAAGAAGAAGAATTTTAACCAAAAAAAAAAGAAGAAGACGAAGAAGATGGAGATTACGCAGAGAAGAAGACAACGAAGACGGTGGCAGTTTCAGATTCTTTTGTTTTTTGTTTCGCTCTCATTTGATCTCTCTCTCTCTTGTTATATCTATATATATATATCCAACTCTCTCTCCCATTCCAAAAAAAAAAAAAAAAAAAAAAACTCTCTCCCCCATTCTCACTCAAGCCTCCATTATATGACCATAGTATAATACTACTGTCGCTGAACTATGCAAATAATTCTTCGTAATTTTATAATGAATTAATTTCAATATAACTATACAAAATTGTTATATTAAAATCTTGTCTCTTGGAAAAAAACTACGCATATGCAAGTTTAAATATAGGTAAATAATTATATAAATTAGTTAACACAAATCTGCAAATTGTTATATATATAGATGGACTTCTACATTCGCAGCTAATAATTACATGGACTCGGTTTCAATTCTGAAACGGTTCTTACGTGTAAATTCATTAGTCATAAAAATGTTAGGTACATAAATATCCAGATTAATCTTTTTAAAAAAAGAGTGACTTTATGTGACACCCGAAACCCGTATCCCGCAATACGAGTTGCGCCACATGGACAAGTAAAATAAAAATCGCATTTCAAAAAATCCGTGGGAATTTAAAACTTTTATTTTTAGAGTTCAGCGGAAGAAACTTTCTTACATACATATACGGAAAAAATCCGTGGGAATTTAAAACTTTTATTTTTAGAGTTCAGCGGAAGAAACTTTCTTACATACATATACGGTACATTATTCCAGTTATAATTATACATACACAGTGGTAGCATCACATTATTACAAACCATAAAAGTCTACCACCGATATAACACAAACCGTTCCCCGAAAACGTAAATGTACCGTAGAGAATA